CGCACCTGTTATGTTGTAAGGGTAGAGCCTTAGGTATTCATGGGGGAGGGGTAACTCAGATCGCTTTGTTGTGATACTATGTGTGGGGGAGGGGCTGAGAGGGAACGCTGCCGCTTGCTTGGCTCTTGGCTGGCTTTCAGTGACTTCCCCTATTTAACTACAAGCAAATTGGGCCCTTCTGGTGCTGATTCCTGGGTGACTGGGTTTGTGTACGTTCTAGGACCCCATGGGTCTCTCCAGTGAACACTCCTGTGAGACTGGGAATTTCTCCCACTGCTGAAACTTCCACAGGTTTTTACAGCCAGAAGTTTTGAGGATTTCTTTTCCCATCCTGGAACCCTGGATTGCAGAGTCTGTCTGGCTCACCAGTGTTCCTCCTGGTTTATCGGTGCTCAAGTGTGGGACTGCCTGGTTCGCCAGCCACTACCTCGCCTGCCTGGTCCTCCAGCCGCCGTCTTGCTGTGTGTCCCCTTGGCCCTGGCTGCCATCTCCGTCCCTCCTACTGGTCTGGATGAATGTTTCTTGTTTAACTCCTTGGTTGTTGGACTTACATGAGGTCGATTTTTTGGCAGTTCTGGTGGTTTTTTGCTTTTATTTTTAAATTTGTTGTTGTCTGTCTTTTGGTTGTGCAAGGAGGTGAAGTGTATCTACCTACGCCTCCATCTTGGCCAGAAGTCTAGGTGCCCTAGACTATTTTTATAGATTGATTAGGTAATACATTCTAATTTGTTTTAAGTAAACTCATCAAAGGATAGTAGTTCTAGTATAGATTACTTTCTAAATTTTTTTTGTTTTGCAACCAGTACTTGGTAGTGGAGGTGGCAATAGGAGACTTGGATTGTTTCTTTGGATGATTAGCTGTGGTCAGTACCTTTTCTGGCCTCAGTGCAGAAATGTGGAGTCAGTACTAGATCATTTCTAAGGGACTTTTGATTTTGGAATCCATATCATAATGTTAGAATTAAATTTATAAAGCAAAACCAAATGTAGCCCACTAGAGGGAGCTCTGTTCTTTTCAATGTTCTCAAACAATTTTATTGAAAAACATATCTTTCATAGAAAAATGTATACACCATAGCTGAACAATTTATATAAGAATGATAAAATCAACATCTGTTTACCCATACTTTGCTTATTTTCCTCAAGAGGTCATTAATATCCTGATCTGTCTTAATCATACCCTTGCTTCTCTTTATTGTTTTAACATACTTCTATCTTTAAACAAAATATTGATTTATTTCTGAAATATTTTTTCCTTTTGAATTTTATATAAAAGATACCAAAGAGTTTTTGTTCTTCTCTGACTTGTTCTTTTTTTTATGATTTTGCAGATTCATCCATGTTGGTTGATACATTTAATTAACAGTTTGTGGGATTTTCTCATCTATACTCTATTGTTTTGTATCAATATACCATAGTCTCTTTATGTGTTCTTCTGTTAGTGGTTGTTTGGGTTGCTTTCTGTATTTTGCTGTTATGTTCCCATGGACATTTATGGATGTTTCCTTTTACACATGTGGATGTTTCTTTCGGATACCCAGAGTTACCTTGTGGAATTAGTTGAGAGGATATGTACATGTTCAACCTTATTAGGTCTGATATTGACTGGCTTAAAGTTTTGCCAGTCTGTCAAGTGTGAAATGCTGTCTTCTTGTGACGTTATTTTGATGGCTTAACGTGTTATATTTTACTCACCGTTTTTTGGGGGTTTTTTTGGTCAAAACTTAAGAAAAAGCTCATCTGACAGTCTGCCCCTTACCCATACACCATTAGTTTGGCTGGAGAATTCACTTCCAAGATGGCTTCTTTCTCTGCTCACTAACATGGTGATTGTTGGTGACTAAGAAACAGGATTGGACTTCTGTAAGCCAGGCTCTACTTACCAACCAGGGTAATTTCACCGGCTTTAGAGTTTAATTTAATTTGTACTTTGGAATCATTTGGAAATAACGGCCTTGTTAACTTACATAACAAACATTTAAGCTGTTTTTCAGTTTATTTGTCTTTAACTTGATTTAATGATTTGCAGAGCTCTTTTTTTTCTGACTCAAAACTGACCTTTCAAATAAAAGTACGGTTATTGGATGTTCTTTTCAGAGCAGGTGAAACTCAGCTTCTCTCCATCAGTCATCTTTCTTCAAGTCTGTTGTGACTGCTTTTGAAGTTTCTTCACTGTAATCTTTATCTGTGATTCTCCTGATTCACCTCAATAAAACTTTTTCTTGTAATTCTATAGAAATTTTAAAATTCTTTACTTTTGCATTTGCCTTAGGAATAAGACCTTTATAATTTATTTGAATTATTGTTTTCTCTGGATATCATGAACAAAATTTTAAGCCTTTATTTTGGCTTAACTAAATAAAAAATCAAACTAAAAAGTTAATTGTCAACATTAAGAACTAGAGTTCTTGCGTTGCTTTATCAGTGCAGTGCAATGTAGTTTATTGTTTTCTAACAAACTAACAGAAAAAGATCCTTTAAGGAAAATATGTATTACCTTTCTGTTGTTCTTTATCAGGTATGGTCTAGACCAGATTAAAGAGAGTTAGATTGTATGTGTTAGTTCAGGAATGATGTTGTTGATACCTAGGAGTGTTAGGAACAGAGGGTTACTGAAAGGCAGAAAAAGGACATTGGACAGCTTTCTACATCATTTGAGATGGATTTCTAGGTGGAAACTTCAATCTCAATGTGAAATGTTGGATATTCCAGGGAAGGAGGATTAATCTTTATTAGAAGTAGTTATAAAAATGACTGTTAGGCCAAATGATTTTTGTTCTAATGTATGCTTCCTTAGTAGGTATTGCTTAAGATTTATCTATCAATAATTTCTATTTGCATACTTAAGTACACATTTCAGCTGGAGTTATAAGGCAGTCAGGATTTGAGCCGGGTGAAAGAAAAGGCTTACCCTAGCATCCCATTAAGAACACATTTAATAATGAAATATAAATGGTAACAGGGCCAGTTTATTAAAAAATGTGTTAGGCTAGGTGGCATGCACGCCCCTCAGCAGGCAGTCAGTCCTTCCGGCCGTCCAGTTAAGAGGAGAGAGTGCCTGGAGGGATTCAGGGATCCCCACGGCCGAGGAGGCGGCGCTGAGGTGAGGAGGAAGAACATATCCAGGGGCCGCCGCCAGGTGTCCAGCCTCGGCCCTCAGTGGGTTCTACCAGACCTTTGATCACTGAGGGGGTCCCTGCGCCTGTTCCTGGTCCCTTCCCTGACCCCACCCCTGTCCCTGCCACCCACCTGCCGTGATGGCTCTGAAGAGAATCCACAAGGAATTTAATGACCTGGTGCAGGACCCACCCCCGGCCCAGCACAGTGTTCTGCAGGTCCTGTTGGAGATAGGTTCCTTGGGCAAGCTACAATAAGGGGGACAAATGACAGTCCCCGTCAGAGTGGAGTATTTTTCTTGATAATTCATTTTCTAACAGATTACCCCTTCAAACTACCTAAGATTGCATTTACAACAAGAATTTATCATTCAAATAGTAACAGTAATGGCATCATTTGTCTTGATTTTCTGTAGTCATAGCGGCTTGGCCTTCTGCACTAACTTTCTGAAGGACTCTGGTCCATCTGTTCTGTGTTGTGTGATCCTAATCCAGATGATCCCTTTGTGCCTGAGAGTGCTCCAGTCTACTATACCGACAAAGAAAAGGACAACAGAATAGCTCCGGGGCGGACTCAGAAGTTTGCAATGTAATTAAAGAAACTATTGAATAACCTCTACAAATAAGATAGGGGAGCTCTGAAAGAGAAGGGTCTTTTGATTTCCATTTGACTGCTTTCTCTGAGTCCTTGCCTCACCTCCCCCTGTGCACATGTTTACCTGATACTGCAGTGCTGCATGTTGTACTTGCTTGTTACAATGAACTAGAAATGCTGTGCTCCTGGAACAGCATTGCCTCCTAGCAGCACGGTGTGTATGTGACAAGCCAGTCTCCAGGTTTAACCTAGGTTTGGGACTGAAAGCTTTCCTGTTGACTTAAATTTGGATTAACGACAAGGTGAGGGGTGGTGGGTACAGTGTGTACTTGGATGGTGGAAAAAAGCTCCACTGACCTCTGGAGATGGTTTTTAAATGGAATATGTTTACTCTCAAAATATATATTAAGAAGAAGGGTTGGGGGTGGATTGGGTAAAAGGTGAAGGGATTAGCCAAAGAACGTATGCATAGCCCGTGGACACAGACAATAGTGTGGTGAAGACTTGGGGAATGGGGGTGAAGGCGGGCAAAGAGGGAAAAATGGGAGCGTCTGTTATAGTGTCAACAATGAAAAATAAATGACAGCAAAAACACAGATATGAAAAACAAGGCAAAGAACATGAAGCTGTTTCTGTATTCATTTTGTGCTGAAGGACCTATGCCTTAGGTCAAAGTTATGACCAGCAAGATTAAAGTCTACCCATACCCTGTGTTTTAAGGTCTAAGTTTAACTGGATTGGAGGTATTAGTACACAAAGTGTGATGGGCTTTGTTCCCATTTTTTTCCCATCTCCCAACCCTGTAAACTTTGCCCTTTCAGCCCCTTTCTCTCTCCTATATTCTTTGGTTTGTGTGTGGTTTCTCAATTAATACATAGCTAGTCGCTCTTATTTTTCTTACATTTTTAACTGCTTAGATTTCTTTGGACGTAAGGGTAAAAATTCATTTGATGGAAATACTTTATATATTTCAAGATCCTGTTGCTCCTCTGAAGCTTGTACTTTCAAAAATGATTAATCGGCGTAATAAACTAATTACTACAGTCATAGAAAATGTGTCACATTTTTTTTTCTTTTAAAAGTTATTTGATGGGTATGATGAAGAATATTTTTTAAAACTTATGTATTGTTGGGTATAATTCGCCATGTATAATGACTTAAGTTCAAACTTATTTATTATATGAAGTTTGCTGTTATATAAATTCTCAAGGATATAAGGAATGGCTGTTGTTAAAATATCTGTGTCTTCTACTGAGTACAATAATAGAGGTTTTCTTCTTGGATTTTAGATTTCCCCTTTCCTCACCCCTGAAACCATATCCAAAGAGGCCCCCGTGCCAAAAAGATGTTGTTAAATTTCCACAGTGGAATGAACCCCTACCAGGCACTTCCCAGGAGAACATCCCAGCGAGGCCAGTGGTGATGGTAAGTGCCATTACTGTCAGACGGAGGGCTAGCAGCAGGGAGAAATAAGTAGCAGTGTGTGGACCACCAGCTTCGTCCAGTTCTCTCAGTTCCTTATGAACTATGGTCTGAGAGTACTTTAAAACAATACCTTACCTGTCAATAACGGAGAGACCAGTAACAAAGAGAGGCTGGGTTTTGCATTTTTTCACTCTTGCCTATTGACAATTTGACCAAACATATAGTAGCTGTTTTCTTATGTTCAGACCAAGCAGTTTTCTGCTTGGGACCAAGGGAGTTAAAACTCCCTTATTATATCTCCTTTTCTTTTCTGTTTTATAATTTGCTCTTTTCCCTGTTTGTCTCCTCCTTCTGAACTTTATGACAAGTTGAGAGTGAGAGGGGTGGGACATGGAGTATTGTGGAATGAGCCCTACACAAAATATGAACCAAGGAAGCTCTGGCCGGGTGCCTCAGTTGGAGCATCACCCTGTACACCAAAAGGTTGTGGATTTGATTCCCGGTCAGGGCGCATACCTAGGTTGTGGGTTTGACCCTCAGTTGGGGCACTTATGGGAGGAAACCAGTCAGTGTTTCTCTCTCACATTGATGCTTCTCTCTACCCCCACCCCCGCACCCCTGCTCCCCACTCTTTAAAATTAATAAGCATATCCTCGGGTGAGAATTAAAAAAAAATATATATTTTTTCATAATCTCCTAGTGTGGGAAAACCTAAGCTCATTGTACAATGAACTCCTTTTGGGGGGACATACTTTTTCTTTGAAATATCCCTACTAAAGACTATCAAGATTTTTTTTAAAAGATTTTATTTATCTATTTATAGAGAGAGGGGAAGGGAGGGAGAAAGAGAGGGAGAGAAACCTTGATGTGTGAGAGATACAGTCATCAGTTGCCTCTTGCATGCCCCCAACTGGGGACCTGGCCCATAATCCAGGCATGTGCCCTGACTGGGAATTGAACCCAGTTTTGGTTTTGGTTTGCAGGTCAGCACTCAGTCCACTGAGCCACACCAGCCAGGGCAAGACTACCACGATTGAAATAATGCTTAAAAAATAAAATACAGAGAAAAATTTTGTTTGGCAGTTTTTAGGAATTAGAATAACACCAATATTTTAAGTTAATCTAGTCTTATAGGACTTGGTGTCCAGTTCATACTTTTGTGTGCAAAGATTTGATGTAAACATTTCTGGCAATGTAATTAAAAGGGTTATCTGAAGAGGTTGTGTTATATTGCTGAGACAATAGTTAAGGAGCTTAGGCTTTATCAAAGATAATTCAAGAAAAAAGTGATGCCGTTGACAGAAATGGGGACTGTGTAAGGGCTTGCAGATATGTCAGGGGCTGTGATGAATTTGGTTTTAAATATGTTTGATGATAAAGTCGGGTTGTATTAAATGGAAGTGTCTGATAGGCAGATGGAGAGAATGGCACTGGAACTTAAGAAGAGAGGTCATATTTGGAAGTCATTAAGTTATTCTCTCAACAAAGATTTATTAAGTGTCTGTTGTGCTGGCTCTACAGATACAGCGATATGTGATACAGTCTTGCTCTAAAATGGCTCATGGTCTAGTGAAGCAGACAATACAAACATAGATTATTAGGAAACAAAGTGGAACTACTCTGAAAGAGAGAGCACAAAGGGTATTTGAGGACTATTTAATGAATTCCTAATGAGGAGTACCCAGTTAGAGTCTACTTGATAGTCCCTATGTAGAGAAAATTAAAATACAAGCTCTATGAAATAAGGTACATTCTTTTTGCACGTTCATATTTAAACACCTCATCAGTAGATCCCCTCAGTAGAGTTGTTATTCAACAGACATGTTTTTTATTAAAGGGTCACCCAGCGTTGTTTATACAAAAGATATAAAATCCCATATTAAATCAATCTGTATTTATGTCATCAGCATAACTTCCCTTTTCTGTTCTCTTTGTTTCTGTGAAAATGTAATATTCCTGGTATTACCTCTACAAAACCCAGCTGCTCATTAGCATACTGTAATGCTCTGACAGTGACTTCTATCTTATATTTTCAGATTCACATTTTTCAGGCGCCCTGAAGGGGTGCACCAGTTTTCGATTCATCAACCAATCCACCCCTACAGGGTATCATGTTCCTGGTCATCTGATTCTACATTTGTTTTGATAACTGTTGTCTTGCTTTTTCTCATACTTCCCCCTTAAATGAAGTGGTAGAAATTTGAAGGCTCCCTGCTTGTTAAATTCCATTAAAAGCTACACTGCTGCATCTTGAAAATTGTCCCAAGAAAGGATGGCAGAGCAGGAGGATCTCTTTCCCTTGACAGAGGTTTTGGAATGATGAAGTTACTAGTCAATAGAGAAACAGTTTATCTTTCTTAAAGGACTTGCATTTATTATTCATTTCTTATTTCTTTTCCTCTTTCTAACTCTGCCTCCACTTTATTAGTTGGTTTTTGTTTTTGTTTTGTCCTGTCTTCTCTCTCGCCTAGCCATTATATCAAATAAAATGAAATACATAAAATTATTTCTTGCGTTTGCTGAGGGGACAGTATAATGTGGAAAGTTGGAGTGTATGCCCAGGAGCAACAGTTTTGGGTTTGAATCGTGGCTCCTCCATTTACTAGCTATTTGAGCTTGTTTCTGTTTCAATCACTGTGTTTGTGTCTCAGCTTTCTTTTCAGTGGAACTGGGATGGTATTACCTCTCTGGGGTAGGGTTATTGTGATAATTAAGTGAGTTCACACAGGGACTCAGTAACTTAATTGCTATTTCTGTTATTAATGTATTTAATAGAATTGTTTACAGGCAGAGATAAAAGAATAAAATTACCCATAACATCCAGAGAGAATTTATATTAACATTCTTGTTGTGTGTCTCTCTGAGCTTTAGTTTTGCTCCTTGCTGTCTCCAGCTGTCCCTGTGGAGTTCTCGTTCTACTTGCCTTTTGTGGATCCCTACGATCTGAGGGCTGCTGTTCAACATTGTACTTATTTGATCTTTCCTTACAAAAAATAGAGAATTCTTGAAATTAATATAATTTTGTTTTAAACAATCATTTAATTTGCACAATGTGTGAATTTGGATAGATGTTCCTCTACTTAATTTTGAAATAATAAATTTTACTTCATTGTTACTTCACTGATTATTTGGAACTTCCACAGGAAATGTCATGCTTCTTGTCATAGCTCTTTTGCAATTCTTGAATATTCATTTATAATATGACCTGATTTTTAAGAGTCATACTTTATTTCTTTGCAGTCCATACAAAGAAAGTTAGTTTACATTTGTTAATATTTAAAATCAAATTACAAATAACCAAATTAAGGAAATTTCTCATAAAACCTTAATGTTATCTACTGAAATATTTGTTTTCTTTCTTTTTATTCGCTGCACCATTAGAATTCTGAGATGTGGTTCAAGCGTCACAGCATTGCTATTGGAGAGGTGCCAGCTTGCCGTCTCGTTTACCGCAGACAGCTGACAGAGGCCAACGTAGAAGAGATATGGAAGTCTATGACATTATCGTAGTATGTGCATTTGATAGTAATGAGACTTTTCAGTGATTTTATTCTAATTTGCTTCTCCAGTATTCTCTGCATGTTTAGTTTTCTGGACTTATATCAAAAAAACCTCAACTTTGATTGCATTATTTGCAATGATGCTGCTTATCAAACATAATTTAATTGAATTCTGGGTATTTTCTATGTCATTTATATAATACTTAAGAATAGACACTTGAAAGTTCTTAAACTTTCTAGAAACACTGAACCCTTAAGTTAATGAGACACATAATGGAAAATTTGGTCTTTCAGATATTAGATGTACTATAGTGATTAAAGTTAGTGATGTTATAGCAAGCTTTTTTTTTTTCCTCACAAAGATGTACTAGTATCAGTTTCTCATCATTGGATAAACTAATTTTTGTTTTTATAATGTCTTATAAAAGCATTTTTTGGCATTCAAGGTGTTACATTATTAAATTAATGAAGCAATATGCTAATGACAAAAGAATATTTTTCAAGTGTGTTCTATCATGTTCAATTTCTAGCTTTTTTGCCCCACAAAGATTGGGTGAAATGCATAAAAACAACACATTTTAAAGACTGTTTTTACAGTGCCAAGTTTTTGGGTAAAGAATACTTTTTTAAAAAGTAAGTAATTAATATAATTATGACTTATCTTTTTAGTTTACAGAAGATCCTTGGCCTAGATTCTTTAGAAGAAGTTTTAGACATCAAACTTGTCAAGTCCAAGTTCATCATACATAATGTATATAGTGTGAGCAAGCAGGGAGTTGTTATCCTTGATGACAAGTCAAGTAAGTACATAAGAACCATTTTTTTTTCTGACTGATCATTATGTTGGTGCACAGTTCTATCACCTTCTATTTGACGTGTCCTTAAACCCTAAGTAAACTTACCCCCTTGTTACACATAGCCTCCTATCATGTCCTAATACCTTTAACTAATTGCTTGGATTAAGGAAATATCATAGGGTGATGAATACTCAGGAGTGAAAACCTCAGCAAAATCCATCCAGAGACTAGTTCAGTATTTGCCACACTGGGCGCTAAGTGCTTCTGTGTTATCCCTGGAAAAATCCCTGAGAAGTGAGTAAGTTTAAGACCTACCTGAGAGCTTGAGTCAGTTTTCAGGTGGATCCTGGGGTCTGATTGATCTTAGGTTCTCACTGACCTTTTTGTAATGGTATCTCTGTCAGTTTTTGTGGGATACTCTTGGTTTATGTTTTCTTTTTCTTTTAATAAAGGTAGATTTTTAAATGTTGAAGGTGTTTTAATTTTTTTATGTCTTTTTTCCCCTAAACTACTTTACAAATCAGAAAAAAAAACCCCAAGACATTCAGCAGGTACCTCCCTTAGTTTTGATTTATAATCATATGGTGGGTGGGTCAGAATCCCTGCACTGATTTTACAGCCTTCTTCCACTGGATGAGGGATGGACTAGAATTGAATGGGCTCTTTGGTTCTTCCTTCACTTCAAACCCTTGATCCTGGGAATTAGCTGCAACTAGAATGACCTTTGGTTGTGGGAAGGTGGTACAGTACTTTGGGGTTTTATAATTTATTGTTAGAATTAAGGCTGGAGCCTCCTGGCAGCAGACAGAGCTGTGCCAGAAGGAGCCCAAGCAGCGGTGGGAGGGGAAGAGTTGCTGAAGGCCAGGTTTCCTCACAGGTACAGAGTGTCTTTGAAACCAGAAGTGCTTCCCTTTCAATAGCCCCTGTATCAGCAATGGAGGACATCAGGAAACAGAAACATCTGTGAATTCATGAGTTGTCTGGTTAATACCACATGTGAAGTTAAGTTATATAGAATGAAGGGGGGTATGACCTTCTGATACATCTGAAATCCTTTAACATTCTCTAAGTAGAACAAACATTAATACTTTCAGCTTTCAGCTTTCAGTCAGATAACTGGTTGTCTTTTGGCATAGTAGTAAGTTCTTAAAGGAAGAAGAGAGCATTTCTCAAGACTTGGCTTCGTTAGATCTAACAGTTCAACCGGCATCTGCAATTTTGCTGAAAGTGAAGATGAAGAAGTAGAAGCATGAGTGCCAGGCCATCTCATCAAATGCCTGCGACAGGGCCAGAAAGGAAGAAGAGATGCTACCAAATGGCTCACCTAGGGTTTTTTTGTAGCGGTGTTAACCATTATTATTTTAAGGCTGTTCTAAAATCAATGGCCTATGTTAATATGTCAGTAGAACTTTGCCTTAAAACATTTTGAAAATTGAAACATAAACTTATACCTATATTGGACTTTGGACATATGGAATTCACCTTTTATTTAAGTGTTTGGGGAACTGGTTTCACAGATGCATTTGATTTTTACTTCTGTTTTTTCTCTGCCTGATATAATTCTTAGGATAATTGATTTGTTAGTTATTTTCCCTGGACAAACCATCACATTTCTTCTTGTCATTAAAGCTTTGAAAAGTTCACCTTGTCCTTAGAGAATTTTGCAGGCATGATTTATACAAGCACATGTAACACTGCTACTAAAGAAAAGTTTTCATCTTTTAAATGTTCTGATACATAAATAGGTGATTTGTGATGGTAGATATGTTTCATATCACCTGGGCAAGTCTACATTCTTATGATACCAGCTATGTGTGTAATTCCTAGAGTTATATGCAATGATTAAAATATTTTTTTATTTTTATTTTTCTGCAGAAGAACTTCCTCATTGGGTATTGTCAGCAATGAAGTGTTTGGCAAATTGTAAGTACTAACTGTCTGCCAGTTTTATGAAATTAACAGAAATTAGCGCCCTGAATTAGAATATATTTTTGCTCAATGGCCTAAACATTGATTTGACACCTGTGAGACTGGTAGTTAATTGTTTTGGGATTGCTGTACTTTTAGTGATAAATATGTCACATGGTGAAAGGGCTGAGTTATAGAATGCCTTTAAAGGAATTTTGTGCTTTTGTTTTCTAGTGGACTACTGTTATTCCTCAAACATTGATTCCTAAGTGGGTCCTATATTATATCACCAATTTGCTTAACAGATCCTGTCTACTATTGGCTTTTTACAGGGTAATAGTTTAAGTAGGAGAGAAATGTTTTAGGAGACTAATCTAACTGGTATGCAGGATGGTTTGGAAGGAGAAGAACCTGTATGCAGAGAACAGGAAAGACTGTTTCAGTAATCTGGACGTACAGTGATGCCTGAATCAAGGTTGTCCCTCTGAGGTTTTTCATAGGCATATGAAATCCATGTCACAGGTATGATATCTACTTTATTGGATATCACAGGCACTGTGAAGCAAGGAGTAATTATAGTATCTCACTTAACAGTACTATTTTTGGGGGGATTTTCAGAGAGCTTGACCCAAAGAAGGGATTCTAATGGGTACTGGCTTAACTCAAGAAAATGATGTTGTTGAGAAGAACTCCAGTTACTTTGATTGACTGATAGTGGTGATGCTTGGTCTCCAGGGCCTTTTGCAGCTTCATAGATCACCACAGAGAGGTAGTTGCTTTCTTCACTTTTGGGTGAGACTAGTATGTACAGAGACAGGTATATAAAGTCTTGAATTAGTAGATTCTGAATTATTTACTTAACTGGTTAGTTTTGTTGGATTATAGAATGAAACTAAAATAACTATTTAGCTTGCTGTGGGTGATCTCAGTGGTGAGATACAGAAAATGATTATATAGTGTGGTTCTGAATGTGACTAGCCATATAATAAATTTGTGTGAAGCCTAAAGTACTGTGTGTTTAACTGTTAAGGTTATCATCATTTTTTGGTTAATGTTTTGGAACCTCTGAGATATAGAGTTCCGTGTTTTTCCCTTGGGAGAGTCATTTTTATTCTTCTTGCTCAGTCATTTGAAATCAATTAAATTTAAATTATATCTTTGGCCGGAGTTGGCAGTGACAAGATAGACGGAATAAATGGGAGGCTAAATCACCCATTTCTGAATTACTGGCAAACTTAGGATCTGAAGGTTGATCAGCAGAGAATGAACAGAGGAAGCCAGGGTAACAAATCTAGGCTCTACTATGTTATAATATATTTATATATTATAAAAATACATAAATATATATATTTTATTGTTGTCACTACTAAGCTGTGGTTATGCTGCTGAATTTTCAGTGATGATCAAAACTTAGTGAAGAGTATAGTTTTCCCTCAAGGAAGATGTATGCATAAAGACACCAGACTTTTGCAGAAAGGTTAGAATAACTGGAATTTCTCATCAATGGAGAAGAAAGATGTGAGGAGCAACTTAATAATTTTCTCCATGTGTATCAGGTGGTGGTATATTAGGTGGAAATTCTTGGGGGCAGGGACATATCTCATATGTATCAAGTGTAGTGGATGGTTGGCAAATTTATAAAGATGCTTATTTATATATCAAAGAAGAAAAGGGTGGCCAAAGGACAAGGCCAGCCTTTTGAATGGTTGCATACAGTTATTAATTTTCCCAAATTCTTATTGGTCCCAAGAATTTATTTTGAGTCTTTTAAGTTCTGACCTATTTCTTACCCTTTTTTAATTTTTAATGAGTCTAGATTCCCATGAGAGTCATCTAAAAGGGAACAGAAAGGATAGACTGAGTATATGATATTTTGAAGGCCTAGTGCCTTCTTTTCTGTAAATCTGCTGCTTCCTTCTTTCCTTTGAGCCCAACTGCATTTACTGTGGACTGAGTGTACATAGGCCTGTGTACTTTCATTGTTGACCAGCCTATGGTTGACCACAGAATGAGAGACTGATGCTAAATAAATATAAAGCAGCTTAATTGTTTTCTCTTCTTTGTGCATGTAGATTGCAAGAATTCAATCAGAAATGGATAAAAACAACTCTACGAAAATCTCTCAGGAATAACATTTATAAAAAAATAGTTTAAAAATATTCTGAAGTTCAAGATGTTTAAGAAATAAAAGACCTTAGAAATATGACCTCTTCTTACAGAGCTCACTATGCACTGGCATTTTTAGGGAAAATTTCCCCCTTTCTTTGCATATTTTTAACAAGAATGATGAAGTGTTCACAAAAGGGTTCAGTTGCGTAGAATGAACTGCATACTTATCCTGGGAAGGGAGGAAGTCAAGGCAGTGTGTATTGCTGAGACCCATCCAACTAATGACAGCATTTCCAGTGACTATAAGCCCGCAGTATTTTAGAGGAAGAAGCAGGCAAAAATGGTAGCTGTGCTTGCTGCTAGGTTAATGTGGTACCACACATATAGATCTTTCAAAATTTTTATTAGTTTAGTCAATCAGATTAAGTTATTTTATAAGAAGTGTACTAGAATATTAAAAGGTAAGAAATTATTAGAGAGACCAACAATAAGCCGTATTCATAATGTCTCAGTGGCTTTGGAATGTGAAGGCCCAGAGTGCTTGTCTCTTTCAGTTTGATCCTTTCTCTTTGGTTATAGCAGTTCTATAGTTTGAATTTCCTTTCATTTCTGCTGGCTTCATCTTTTATTCTTCTGGGGGTGGAGATCTATTTGGGTACTGTGGTGTCGTCTTGTGTTCTGGCCTAGCACGGGCCTGTGCAGCTGGACTCCATTCTTCCATGCTGTGGTGGGAATTGAGAAGGCTTGTTACACCGTTCCTCATGGGACTCCTTGCCGTATCCCTGAAGGCATGGGGTTCGAGTTTGTCTCTCTGTGTGCCAGTGTAAATCTGCGGTCTCTGTATGGATTGTTGGGGGCATTCGCTGCCAACTCTGTAGAGAGCTAAATAAACATTTCTTGTTCCTCTTTGGTCCCAGGTACAAGTGGATCTTTGCCCTGCTGCTGGCATAGGACAGAGTTGGGACCAGGTTGCTCTGGGCTTCTTACAGTTACTCCGATTTTGCAACATAACTCTGCTTGATTAACTATCTTTTGATGGTTGGGGATTAAATAGAGAGTTTTAGAATCAGAATGAATTATAAGACACAATGTAAAACCTCTTTTTCAGTATATATTTAAGAAAAAACTGTATAAATTCTTAACAGTCCGAAATAGTTTAGAGGCAGAAATTGATTATTTTCCTCAACTCCGACTCGAGAATTTTATAATCTAGCAATGATAAAATAATTAATAGCTTTACAATGTGTCTGTTACATGTGTGAGCTAATTGTTATCTTGAGCTAATTGTTTTCATGGTCAACTGTAACAAGACTAGGAAAATACTGAATATTTCAAAGAAAGTTATCATTGTTTACATTTAATAAAAATGCCTTTCAGAAGGACATTAAAGAGTGGATTTTTTAAAAATGGAAGTAAGCCAGTGAACAATTTTTCTGATTGTTTTATAATAGATTTCAATTTAGACATAAATCATATTTGTGTAAACAAAATGTATGTCAATTTATTTAATGTCAGTTTTCCCCATGAAAACTTTTCTGACCTTGAATATGCACAGAGACTGACACTTAGAGGTGGTTGTCCTGCTAATGCTTCTCTTTCTTCCCATCTCACTCTCTCTCTCTCTCTCTTTTTTTAATAGGGCCTAATTGTTCAGATTTGAAGCAGCCTGCATACTTAGGATTTGAAAAAGATGTCTTTAAAACTATAGCAGATTACTATGGTCACTTGAAAGAACCTCTGCTTACTTTTCATCTCTTTGATGCCTTTGTCAGTGTTTTAGGTAAGTTGGACTATAATGAGCATTTATAAATTGAAATTGAAGCATTTTGTTTTCACTATCATGGAATTTCCATTAGCCAAACTCCCATAAGCGTGTTTGAAATAAAAACGGGTGGGTAACTTGCCTAGTTGGTGTCCTGCTTTTGAAGAAGGAAAAGAAAATTGGTTAAGCTATATTGTGAAACTCAAAGCAAGGGTCGCTGATTATTCCTTTAAGGAATAATATGTTGAATGTCATTTTTGTACAAAAAAGTATGACTTCATTGGTAGAGAAGAATGTAAATTTGACATTTACTGTTCGTGAGTAAATCTACTGCTCCAAAGGTAACTTAATGAACTGTCAAGTATAGAAGAGGTATTTTCATTTAGAAATCTAATTTCGTTTTATAAAAGGAACAGATTTTTATAGAGCTGTTTTTAATTTTGACATGTAAAATATAGTAACTTTATCAGTCTCTAAAACTTGTTGCTATTCCTCGTGTAGATTTATACGTCAGAATCTAGTCCCTTAATAAACATGGTAAAAAGGAAAAAAATCAACGTTATTGTTACAGGTTTTTTTGATACTGTTTTGTCTTCTAGGGAATCCAGTTTTCCTCTTGCTGTTATGATTATTTAATAAGCACTGTTGTTGTCAAAAGATTTGCTTTAATCACTAAGTTTTTGTGTGGGTACCATACTTGGTTATGTAAATTTGTAAGAATTAGCATACTCTGGTATTTGAGTACTTGTGGGGTTAGCAGTTTTCTCCTTTTCTTCTCATTCCTCCTTCCAGTCTTACTTTCTTCTTGGAAAGTATGGATGCTGCCATAGTACTTTAACAAAGTATTAACAATATGTGAATGAACAATATGTGATCTCATGGCACAGTACTTTAAATTTTTAAAAGATTTTGTAGGTTTTCTGATAATAAGCAACAAAAACAACAATTGTAAATCATGTACATAAGAGTGAGTTTTGTTTAGAGAGACCAATATTGGGAACAGATGAAAGGATTAGTCCTATTACTAAGTTTTGAGGCCACTGTGTCTCTTTGGTACTTTATTTTCAACCAAGGAGGCCTGGGGGGTTATATGTTTGTGAATATCATGCCTAATGATGAATATTTGCTGTTATTTAATATGTGTATGGACTGATTGAGTAGATTTTTGTTATAGCCACTTATAACAAAATAAGTTAACTGCCATTATGCTACTGGTAAAAGAAGAATTCTAAAGATAGGATTAAAAATCCCTTCTTAGATTTTTTTTTTCCTCATTTTTCCATTTTCATAATGACCTATTGTGAAATTATCTGGCTTAGAAATTAAAGAACTTAGAGTTTTAAAAAATGAAGTCTAATTTAAATCAGTTATATTTATGATGTCACTGGTCCGTTATACCACAATTGTTCATTTTGAACTCAGCTACCAATTAAAGCTGATTATTTCCAAATTGATGTCAGAGTCAGCCGCCCTCTAAAATATTATCCGTAGAGAGTTTATTGTGGAGAAGGCTAGATAGAATGGAGAATTTCATTGTACTTGGTTATCAGCAAGACTAGACTAATGTGTGTAGATGGTCATGATATAGTAACCTTCCCTCATCCAGCCCATCTTAAATGAATGCATTTGAGACACTCTGCATTGAAAACCATACCCTTATGTAGTAAAAGAAGAAAGTCTCCTAGACTATGGGAGACCATAATTTGTTTATATGATTAACAAATATTATCTAATATAGAAATCCTGTTAGAGCCTATGGGAAAAATGTCATCTAGAAACTATCCACAAACTAGATGTGTAGGTTGAATCCCAGTAGGGTTAGCTCATTCCTTAAACCATTGACTGACTTTGATTGGAATAGGATGCCCTTGGGTAATAATATTTTAAAGCAGGTAATCAATCTATTTTGTGTAGAAGCTAAAAACCCTACAGCACTTTCAGTGGAAATGATTTTCAGTTCTGTTAATAAATTTCTTTTGAGGTCTATTTTTACCTCTAGCATGAAATAATGCTAGCTTGATGCCAGCGCCGTGACCCTGGGAGCAGTTAGTCATTACTAATATATGAAACAGGACGTCTCCGAGTTATTAATGGGAAAAAAAAGAGACATTTTTGGAGATGTAAGGCTTATTTACTTACAATTTTAAAAAAATGATGTAATTTGGCTCAGCAGTCTGACCTAACGTAACAATTCATAATAATTAATCTTTATTTTCTTTTATTTATATATATATATATATAATAGTTGTTCAGTTACATTTGTCCTGTCTTTTTCCCTATTGCTCTCCCCTGCCCTGTACCCCACTCCCAAAGTCAGTCTCCTCTGTACCCTGCCCAGTGTCCATGCCCTCTAGTCCTCTATTCATGTTCCTTGGCTTGCCCCTCCCCCTTCTTTCTCCCATTCCCCCCCGCCCCCCCCCCCCCCCCCCCCGCTCTGGTCGCTGTCAGTTTGTTCTTTATTTCCGTGTCTCTGCTTCTGTTTTGCTCATTGGTTTATTTTGTTCATTAGATTCCTCTTATAGGTGGGATCATATGCTTTTGTCTTTCACTCCCTGGCTTATTTCACTTACCAGAATAATCTCCAGTTCATCCATGCTGTTGTGAAGGGTAGGAGTTCCTTCTTTCTTTCTGCAGTATTTCATTGTGAAAATGTACCACAGTTTTTTGATTGACTCATTTACATAGTAATTAATATTTATTTAAAAAAAATAAAGATCCTTGCATTAAGATCAGAGTTCATCTGACTCTTGAATGAGTTGAATGAGGTTATTATAGCATCATTTACTCACACTGCACACACACCCTAGAATCTGTGTAGCTTGTAATAATTTGGCATATTGAGGAAAGGGGAGGCAGATAGGAAGCACAGTAGGGCATGGGAGCAGGGAAGAGTACTTTGGAAAATTGGATGACTTGTGGGTTGTATGTATAATGTTATAATCCGACCTCCCATCCTAGTGCTCTGTGGGCCGTATCTGGCTCATAAATACTCTGGTTTGACCTGTGTGTTTTAAAAGAAATTTAATTAATTGCCAAACTCTAAGAAATAAGAAATTCATACAAGAATTTATAATTTTGGCTTTTTTAGAAAAACTGGAAGATCTGGCAATTCTGGGCTTGAATTTTCAGTGGCACAAACTGCTGCAGCTGTGTAGTGCTCCCACTAGGAGGAGCTAGTGTTTCAGGGACATGGATTGCAATATGCTGAGTCTCCAATGTCCCCCATTGCTTTTCAGACCCTAAAGTCAAGTTCACCTGCTCATTTATTCCATTTGTCTGTTCCATCAGTCAGTTGAGCTCGAGACCCTTGGTTTATTTGCTAGTGGACTGGAAGACTGAGATAGTAGCTCTTTGTTGTTCCTTCTTCCTTATGTCAAGTTGGAAGATAATTCAAATTCACTGCAGATTGTAGACTGGATCATCGATCAGTAGGTCGAGATCTCCCCTTCTGTTTCTAACCTAGAAATATCCAGAAGATTAGGTTTTCAATTCTTCTGTTCCTTTGTCTAGTGACTTCTAGGACATCTTTGGAGATGTGCTCCATGTTTGCCTTGTTACCTCTTTGCACTTGCATTTTTCACAGGATCCTTATCCCATGATGATTCTTAATGGAAAACAATTCATGTCCTGCAGAGAGTGCCTAGGTGGTGTGCTTGATCAGACAAGGGGCTCTTGCCCATGTTAGTCCAAGGTTCTTGCTGTTGGTGCTCTCTGTTCTCAGGGCCCAGAGCTTGTGTATGGCTGGAGGTTTTGAAGATACAGATAGGCCAAGGAAAAGATATTGAAGCACCTCCAAATGTAATAACTACTATTATGTCAAGATTGTTGGCAAAAGTGGCTTTAGGTACTCTGTAAAGGTGGAAGTTTAGGGAAATGCCTAGCTATTCCCTGGCTATAACTAAATACAAAAGCTATTTATAAGCATACTGGTAATCACTAGGACAATTAAAAAACTTTTGGGAAATAATTTCATACCTTTCTCACACCATTCAACAGGGTAAATTCCAGCTGGGTTAGAGAATTAAATGTAAAAAATGCAAATTGAAAATATAGTTGGTATTTATCTGATGTTGGGGTGGATGAAGGACTTTCTAGGCATAGAAGCAAAGGAAGTCATAAATATGCCAAAGCGTTAGGATTCTTCATGTAGGAAGGGGCATCATCTTGTACGTGGGTGAATTTATATCCACTTTTAAGCAATTCACAAAGGCAGCTTGTTTGCCTTTCTTTAAAAGCCTCTAGAGAAATAGTCTCTCTTGCTGTGTCTTTCTTTAGGCAGGGTTTTCTTACCAATTGTTGTGTAGTCTGAATTCTTTTGGCTTAGGGTAAACCTTTTCCTTTTTAAACCTCTTTTCAGTGAAAATGAAGCTGTGACATATTTTTTATTCCTTTGATTGTTTGAAAACTGCAATGAACCTTTCTTGAGTCTCTTGTTCTGTGGCCAAACAGACATGGTCCCAGTGGCCTTTCTGGGAACAAACTCCAGGCCCTCTCAAAAGTCTTCATATTTTACTTCTTTTCTGAAGCTCCCATAAGGAATAACGTATGGTTAACTTTACATATGTTAGCAGAATGATTAGGTCTACTTTGCAAAAATGAAAGTTTGTTTTCTTAACGATTTGAAAATGGAAATCTGATGTAACCACTGGGGAATGGGAGGGAGGGCAACAACGGAAAGTTGTTTTGGCCAAAGTGTCACCTAACCTTTAATAATATAGAATTTTATAAATTTTTATTGACTTTGATTTTATTTATTTCTGTTTTAAGGAATAGTTGGGTTTCTTTTGAGTATTAAATTATTTGTTCACTTATTGTTCCTCAATCTAGCTAAATAATGAAATAGGTTCATGATTGAAAAAACTCATAGATGATTTGGTAGATTTTTTTATTATCTTTTCATTGTTTTATTCTTATTTCACCAATGGAAACATTACCAAGATCAGGTAACTTGGTTTGTTGACCTAGTTGCAGGAAATTTGATCAATTGCTCGGCCTTTCTGGGCCCCAGCTTTCTCATT